GTCATTTTATTTGTTAGTCCTTGACATGTTTTCAGGAGGGGAAAACACTTTTAAACCGTGGAAATAATTATCAATATTAATACCATGTTAAATTGTTTTTCTCTACTTGCTAAAGTACTTTTGGATTTATAACGTTGACGGAAAAACAATTCGGTTGTAGAGCAGGGGCCTCCAAACTCAGTCCTGGAGGACCAGTGTCCTGAAGAGCTTAGCTCCAATCCTAATTAAACACACTCGAACCAGCTAATCAATGTCTTACTAGGCATACTAAACTTCCAGGCAGATGTGTTGAGGCAAGTTAGAAAACTCTGCTGGACACTGGCCCTCCAGGACGGAGTTTGGAGACCCCTGATGTGGCGTAAAATAAATCCGATGTCTGATCAACTTTTTCGTCTTTTTTTTTGTTTACTTATTTTTACTGATAACGTACACTATAAAAGATTGCTTAGTGAACCGATTCAAAAGATTCGAATCGCTAAAATGAATCAATATACCTGCCGCCAGTAAGAGCCCAGAATACTTGCGCGTGCGCGGATCTCCTAGCCAATCAGGCGCTTCCCACAAGTTCACCAGTGTTGTATAAACAGTCTGAAGAGCTTAGCTGCTTGTGCTAATATAGGCGCATAACGGTGGTAAAATATAATAAAATAAATGTAACTTGTATTTAGGAACGGATACGCCATCAATCGCCAATAGGAAGGTACGGTGCATGATTTTTAGCCCCATGTTTGATTACAAGCGTGCTAAGAGCCTAGTGAGGAGAATTGAAAAGAGCCTGACGCCGCGCAGCCTTGTCGCTTTAGCTCTGAATCTTTAATGTAATTCACAGCATCTATATTTAGTGATATTACTAACGCAAAGATGACAGAGCGGGAGGAACGGCGCTTCGCCGAGGTGCCGCGGGAATCCATTAAACTGATGGCCGAAAGCACCGGAGTGGAGCTCAGCGAGGAGGTGGCAACTCTGCTGGCGGAGGATGTGTGCTACCGCCTCAGAGAGGCAACACAGGTCACATTTGACTTATTTACATGCGTTGCATGCTACTGTACATGGCTGTGTCTTAATGTTCCCCGCAAGCTGTTCTGGTGGGATCTACTGTCTCAGCAAGGCCATTCAAATCACTTTTAAGGATTTGTTGTGCATGCATTCCATTCTCTCATACATGCACGTGCCTTATTATTTCTTTAAAGCGATAGTGATGTGTGCTATTGTTTCAGATTATGACTGTTATCTGACAAACATTTCATGCTCCTGTACATGCAGGTGTCTTGTTCTTTTAAAGTTGCGCTAATGGATGCTACTGCATTAGAGGTGCATGCTGGCATGCACTTAAAGCTGTGTTGATTTGTGCTACTGTCTCTAAATGTTTCCAGCTCAAGCTTTTGTAGATGTTGTTTTGTGTGCATGTGTTTTTAATCCTCTAAAGCATTTGTAAGGAAAGACTTTGTAAACCGTCAACCATTTTGCTATAAAGTCTGCATTTCATCTCTTTGTCACACTACAGAACAGCTCACAGTTCATGAGACATGCAAAGAGAAGGAAGCTGAGCGTGGAAGACTTCAATAGAGCACTACGGTGGAGCAATACTGAGGTACCTATTCGTCTTTATGTGTGTGTGATTGAATGCGCTTTCAATGTGAATTCGCATTGTGGTGTTGTTTGTTACACTTCGACACCTGGAGAACAGCATTACACCTGCTGTATATTTTCTAGACTGT